AAACACCCAGACCCAAGACTATCTAGAAAAGTTATCTGCTGTCTGTTAAGAAAACCCAATAATATGTAGGTGTTGCAAATATAAAAAAAACAGCTATTTATTATAGTGAAACTTTTATGACATAGCTAAAATTTTTTAACATTGAATATGTCTTTACGTTCGCTCCAGTAGGCCCCCGTTTTCGCTGAAAGTGCGACTCGCCCGTGATACCCCGAGGTTTAGGGCCACGAGGACGTATGAGGGCTCAAAAGACGCGGAATTTGAAGGGCTTTAAGAAGATGTAAACATTATTTTGGAAAAGTCAAGAACTTTTTTGGAAATCGAAAAAAACCGACTTTTTTCGACCCAAAAATTGTGTTCTCACAGAAAATTTCTAATATCTCGAGAACGGGGCCCAATTTCAAAAATATGAAAATAAGGAACTCGGTATTGAACCATTTTAGGTTATTACACTTTTTTCGATATTGGTGGCGGTTGAGGCTGTAGAGATGCCCTTCGCCGCGAGTTTTGCGCGGCACGAGGTGCGATGTCACGCGGCGGGCGGCTCGCGTGCGGCCACGATGACGTATGATGACGTGACGACGCTCAAAAGACGCGGAATTCGAAGGGCTTTGAGATGATGTAAAAATATTTTGGAAATGTTGTTTTTTTTTGGAATAATCTATAATGGGAAGATTCCTTTTCAATGCCCTTTCAAGTCGTGTTGAGCACGTGATCTGTGATTTTTTTAATTTATCTTAATCATGTCGCCATTACATTTTTACTTGTTATTAACATTCAGACCAAATCAACAACCATCGTTGGTTCAGTGCCAATGGTAGAAAGCTCGTCTGCTACGCGGACGGGACGACCCTGGTGCTTTTTAATAATGATTTTAAAAGATGCATCGATTTTTTTTAACATCTCTTTTTTATATATCTACTGCTGGATCACTAGGCTTTCTATGGATTCATACATCATAGTGTGTCGGTAACATACCTACCCAGTTTTACTGTTATATTCTATTACCTTGACACAATATTTTCTATCTAACCTTGATTATACTTAACTTGTTCCATTATCGCAAGGTTGAACTCTTCATTTGTGAATCATATGATTGCTCCAGCTATACAAGCGGCTTCTCACACTACGTTGATAAAATACTGTTGATTCATGATTCGGTCCTGTCCTGTGCTATATTAATATTTTAATATCACAGAAGGTCGATTTGTGCATGTTAACTATATTTTCATTCAACTGTAAACATTGTGATTTTTTATTTATAACTGCTAGGCTATTTTAGTAGTCATTGGTGTTGATTCTGGCACGATTATCTAAATCTAAACTTAAATTTGACAATGTATCCTTGTCATTCTCTATACAGCATGAAAAGGAGGGACTAATGTTAAATTTAGTTTTAAGTTTAGAGAATCACGCCAGAATCGACACCATTGTATAAACTAAATGAACTCCTTATAGTGCAAATTTGTCTCTAAAATTTATTGATTCTGGTTCAATTTGATTTCATATCATTTTAAACTGTGTGTATGAATTGTAGTATTATCAATCACAAAGTTTGGTGGAATGAAAAAGGCAATAGTTATCTATATCACCAAATAATATTTTTCTATCGTCTTACTTCGTGCTCTTAATAAATAAACTCAGCGTATTGAGATTTCCTGCTGTATAAAATTAGTAACATATACTGTATCACACAATTTGTCGAGTAACAACACTGTTCTCTATGTAAAAAAATATAATAAGTAATCAATGACACAACTACCGTTATACACTTCATATTTTATTTTTCATTTTTTCATAAAATTTAATTGTTGTTGTTCAATTATTGACAATTTAAATTTTATTTTTATTCATAATTGTTTTGTAATGAAATAATTGTAATTATCAAAATTTTATTAGATTTAATTGCTAGTTATGTGTAAATTGCATGTCGTTATCGCCTATAATTAAAGTTCCACTAATAAAGTGTCGTACTATAAATGTGTAAACAAGAATTGTCTAAGTGTAACTTTGTTGGTGATAAAATAAATAAATACACGGCCATCAACCCGATTACGGCACTATTGGAATTCTTGAAAAGGTCTGTAATGCCCCGCTATCCAGGGCTGAGATATTCAAGACGTACAATAATATCCTCCAGGAATTAGGTAATCACTTGGAATTGACGTTGAAATCCTTGTGGAGGAAATGCTGCGTCGAGTATGTGATGGAAGCCGATTCATGACTCGTGGCGTAATGGCAACATGCCCACCGGAAGCGGGACCGTTTGTGGCCAGTTTTGTTATTGTAATTTCGCATTGTGCTCGCGAATTATGACGGGACGGGATGGCTCTGCTCTAACCAATGTTCTGTTTGATACCAATGTCAGTAGTGCGCCACTGGCAGTTGAGAATAGGACTTCCACGGGGACGGTCGTATCCCGAGTGTTGCATAAAACAATTTATATTATTGTTATCACAATTCGTCATTAAACTGTTCCAATTGTGGTTGTAGTGATTATTAAAGCTAACAAAACAACAAAGTGATTGTTTCAACGATTTTGAATTTTTAATTTAACCAGACAGTGATAATATATGGAATTGATAAAAATCTACAGCAACACGTTAATTTTGATGAATTAGTTTGCGCTGTGAACATGGTTGTATGGTATTTGACGGAGGATAGTAAGGAAAAGGTATTTTTTTTTCTGTTTATAGAAAAAGTTAATTGGTTACGTACGACGTAGATTTCTCGGGAGTATGCAACGGGTTTCTTGCGGTTAGGCTGGAGCGGTTTAATGGTCATATAAGTATTTAATATTCATTTATCTTCACATGAACCTACATGTTCTATTCCATTTGTATTTCTATTTCAATGTTTTAATACATTATTTTTCCGTTGCCTTCATTGTATTTTTATCATGTTAGGTATACTATACAATGTTTTTTCCCGTAATTGTAGTGTTTGGTATAACAAAATCATTAAGTTAAAGGTACTATTTTCCTCTGCTAATTCTCAGCGATTACTAGTAAATCCCCGATTATTATGAATCTAATGAAATATGTTTATAATATTTAGTATGCAAAATAAAGGGGCCTAAATAGTTTCTTATTACTTGAAAACTAGATTTTTAACGCTATCTCCAGAATGTCTAATATCATTGCCTATTTTTTTTCCTATGTGGCTTCATTAAGACTTTAATGACACAACTGATTTTCTTTTGATGCAAGGTTACAAAGATATAACATGTAAAATGCAGTAATCTGAAATCAATATATCTTTATTCAAATTGGATGTATAGTACAACTCTTTTGAATCTTCCATTTTTTTTTCTCCCTACCACTCTTTATTGATCATATATTTTTTAGTAGCGGAGAAAAACTAGCGAAAAAATCCACAACATTAAAAGTATAATGTAACAACATTTACAAATCATTATTTTGTTACAACGTCAATACAATCATGATTTATTTAATATAGAAAACCTGTTGGAATGATTTGAACAGTTCAAACCCAAGCATTTTTGTCTGTAATATAATATAATATATTTCATTAACCCACATTTACAGAGATAAATTAAAAAATCTTAGAGCTAACCAGAACCCTGCCTAAGCAATAGCTTATGCGACATTGCAATGCACCAGCGCTGTTAATCTGACTCTTTGTAATAAGCTTTTTTAATGTGCTTTTTTTATATTATCTTTGAATTTATGTAGGGTCTATCAACCTCGTCACGGACTGTTTAAAACCAGTATCAAAGAGATGTCCTTTAGACTCTTATAGCATGTAGATTTATCAACTATGCTAAAGATATCTACTCCTTCTGCAAATAGGCTGTCCGTCTGTTTAACTTTTTATATGCTTTCCTGACACACGCAAATAGTAACCGTTTACGTTATCCTTATCATCTTTCAGATTGCAAACATTATGTGTGTTGTATTTTCAACAACGACTTCCTTTGCGAATCTTCAAATTTTCCACATTGTCGGGTCATGCAATACGTTAGTCTGCACACTCTATTTCTGCGTTTGTATATTCGTGATATTTAGGTTGATTCAGTGGCGAGAGCATGTGATCTCGATCCTTTGCTTGACACATGCCACTCTTCGTTTACTCTCTTGTTTATTTAATTTCAGTTCGTAGCCTCGTGATACAGATTTTATCTCCAACTGATGCAACAATTGTTTTTCGAAAAATATATAGAATTTGATTCCGCTGGACTGTATTCGTTACAATTCTAATACTTATTGAGTGTCTTGGCGAACGTTTCTAGAACAACACCACACCACCTTCTCTCAATTAGATAATTTATAGTTTCGGTATTTATTTAAATTCATACTAATTAAATAATGCTCTTATTAGTAAATATACCTATCAAAGATTTTGCGGTATGTTGATGATGTTATCGTATTTCAATAAAAATTGTTTGGAGTTGATTTGTTTACTTGATGATTCATTGAGTGGAATTCATATTCCTCATCATTCGGTGGGATCTCCCAACACATTAGAATAATACCTCATTATGCAGTGCACACACTTTTTTAATTGCGGTCTGTGCTTTATCACTCTCATTTTTAATGCTCTCGCTGTGTAGTTATGGTCACTTGACGTAGGTAAATTATGAAACCTGAATAACTTAGTTATCTGATGTAAACATTATGTTTATTTTATCATGCATTTTGGAATTTGAAAATCCGTATTTACAATAATCTAGATTAGGTTATTATGTATTTATTAGTTTACGTTAAATAATAAAGTCTTATCATCTACCTTGATAACGACGAAATTGTATTTTTTATTGCATTGGTGTTTTTCGTAAAAACAATGTGTATAAATGTATGTAATCAGAAATAGGTAACTCAGTTATATATTTTTTTGGCAACGCAGATACCTACATTTTATCTCTAACTTTTTAATATGCTTTATGCATTTCACTGCTACATTCTTTGTTCGGAAACCTTGTAGCCTAAAAGATATAATGGAAAAAATTCGGCACAACCGTTATGGTCCCGGCAGCATTCATTCTGATTTGACTTAGGGTAGAATAATTTTATTTGTCAAATTTTCTTTAAACATATTCTCAACTGGTATTGAAAGTGTCATTGCGAACATCGCGTTGTGCTAACTACTATTATGTTTGTTTGTCACCAGAGCGAGCAGTCGTCGCCGTTTCGCCGCTGGACGACGGGCAGCGGCGCCGGCAGCTCCTACAGGCACCACGACCACAGAAACATGTACAATAAGGTCAGTTCAAACTAATTCTTGCTAGACTTTTGATCTGCGATAGGTTAAGCAAATTTTGCAATAGTCAGTTATAGGATTGAAGACATTTTGAGCCGTTGGTTACGGCTGCTCGCAGTCGTTAGCACCCACCCATTCTTACTGGACCCGCTTGGTGGGTCAAGGCCGGTGCGGTGGGGAGTGGGGCTGGCGGCGAGGATCGTGGCCCGCTGGTCGCTGGGGCTCAAACAATTGCTTTATTATGCGGTCGATTTTTGATTATATTGCAGCTGATATGAAAGTGTAATAAATGGTCCTTCTACAACAGATGTGTGGTCGTATAACAGCAGCTCAGCGAGGGTTTAGTAGGAAGGAGATGCGGCTGTGCGAGTAATGGCAATATTATAGCACTCCTCCGTGCATCGGAAGATACGTTAAGCCTTTGGTCTTGGCTGCATCTGCGGTCGTTATCCTATCTGCACTGTCATGACTATTTCCATCCATACGTACACGTATTGCAGCAAAAAACCCACAACAGGTCGCTAGAGCTCAAACAGATGTACTGGCAGACCTACGCACAAGTTCTTATTAGAACAGACATATTAGGCGCTTTGCAGACGGCGGGGCGGAGCGGGCCGGTCAATTTTCGAACGATAGCACAAAGTGAATCCTATACTACAAACGCACACAGAGGGCAAAAACACCGCGCCTTGGGTGCCCGGCGGGCACTGGCGGCGCGGCATGTCCGCGGCTGCCCGCCGTGGATCATACAAACCAGTTTATATGCAGTAACGCAAGCGGCGGCGCGGGGCGGTTAGCTCAGTCCGCGCCACGCGCTTTTTAGTGATGGACTATTCACTAGAACGAACGTCCTGAACTGATTGCCTCTGCCCGTCGTGTGCTTTGTGTACGCGGCGAGGACAGCCGCAGACATCGACGGGCAGACGCGGTTTTTATTGCTACGCGGACAAAAAGCCCGGCCCGCCCCGTCGTCTGCAAAGCGCCTTATGGTTATATTGCAGCAGTCATGTCATTGCTCAATCTTCCTATTCCATTCATAGGCAATGCCTGCTCCAGCAGTGGGGACATTTTTGTTCTGCTTCAGCAGGCTGATGATGATGAATGAACCATTTGGTCGTTTTGCAGCAAATAAGCGAGGGTTCGGTGGGGAGCGGTGCCGGTGGTACAGGCGGCGTGGCCCGATGGTCGCTGGGGCTCGAGCAGCTGCTGGCGGACCCGGCAGGTGCCGCTGCCTTCGCGCACTTCCTGTCCAAGGAGTTCGCTGCCGAAAATATCAGGTATGTTACAGTACCTCGTCAGAAGGAAACAACAACACAAAAAAAAACAAAACTTTTCAAACATATAGTACAATTAATTTTACAACAATTCTAATTTAAGGAATTTCTGGTTGGTCCCACCAAATTTTTTGCCAATTTTAAATACAAACAGCGAATGTCATTTGTGTGTGTTTAAATATTAATGTTATACATCGTCCTTCAAAAGATTAAGTCCTTTACTTGTAATAGAATTATTAAATCTTAATGGCGGCTTTGAAGCTAGCGCAAATCGCGGCGCAGTAAAAGAAATGTAATTAATTGAAACCTGCGTTCAGTTGCGCTCGCTACAAACTTTACGGACGCTATAAAGTTTTAACGACATAAAATATTTGTTTCTTAAATTTCACGAACACCTAAAATTTTAACAATCGTGCTTTATATCCGGTCAACAAGTGTTTAATAAAATGGCATTTTAACATTCGTCGACCGGTCCCCAGGTTCTGGTGGTCGTGCGAGCAGTACACCAACACAGAGGATGCGAGCAAACGCGCGGCTTTAGCAGAAGAGATATGGCAGCGGCATCTTGATGAAAAGGCATCGGAACCAGTGAATGTAGACGGGACTGCCAGAAGAGCCGTCGCTTTGAGGCTGTGTAACGAGCCCGCCGCCCCGGATCTATTCCTCCAGGTATAGTGCGATTCAAACTTAATGACCGCTGTTAGCAGAAGAGATAGGGCAGCGGCATCTTGATGAGAAGACATCAGAGCCAATGAATGTAGACGCTTTGAGGATGTGTAGCAAGCCCGCCGCACCAGACCCGTTTCACCAGGTAAAGTGCGATTCAAACTAAATGACTGCTGTTAGCAGAAGAGATAGGGCAGCGGCATCTTGATGAGAAGACATCAGAGCCGGTGAATGTACTCTTTGAGGCTGTGTAGCGAGCCCGGCGCACCAGACCTTTTCCACCAGGTAAAGTGCGATTCAAACTAAATGACCTCTGTTAGCAGAAGAGATATGGCAGCGGCATCTTGATAAGAAGACATCAGAGCCGGTGAATGTAGACGCTTTGAGGCTGTGTAGCGAGCCCGCCGCACCAGACCTTTTCCAACAGGTATAGTGCGATATAAACTAAATGACCGCTGTTAGCAGAAGAGATATGGCAGCGGCATCTTGATTAGAAGACATCAGAGCCGCTGAATGTAGATGCTTTGAGGCTGTGTAGTTAGCCCGCCGCACCAGACCTTTTCCACTAGGTAAAGTGTGATTCAAACTAAATGGCCGCTGTTAGCAGAAGAGATATGGCAGCGGCATCTTGATAAAAAGGCTTCAGAACAAGTGAATGTAGATAGGCCGCCGCTCAGAGGTCCCGGGCTCGAATCCCGGTGGCGGGTAAATCTTACTATGATGAATACGAGTATTTGTACCTAAGTCATGGATGTTCATATATATTTTTAGATAAAATATACTAATATGTGTATCAGCATATCTATTCTATCCGTTCTAAGGCTAGGCTAATTGGTGTGAGTGTGGAAAATATTTACTACTAGCTGCGCCACGCGGTGTTTCCCGCGGTTTATTAGGGACATTTTCCCGCAGTAAAACATAGCCTACCTATGTGTTAATTCAGGGTGTCAGCTACCTCCACACCAAATTTTATTCAAATCGCTCCAGCCGTTTAGACGTGAAGAAGTAACAAACGTACACACATACAAACTTTCGCCTTTATAATATTCGTGTGATTATTTATTTATAAACGTGGTCACGGCGATGATTATTTATTTCCCATTCCCCACACAGGCGCAGAAGCAGATCTTCAATGTGATGAAGTTCGACAGCTACCCCCGTTTCCTTCGTTCGAGCGTTCACGCGGAATGCGCGCGCGCCGATCTGTGCGGCCTGCCGTCGCCTTATGCACCGCAGATCGAACAAAATACGCCTAGTAAGGTAAGAAACTGCTAAAAGTCATACAATACAGTGCGACAAGGATCTTTATGAATGAGACTGACAGTGCATGGGGGAAGGGGGGGTCTCTAAATCTCTAAATTTAACAGCAGACTCTCCTTTTCATGCAAGGATACACTGTTGTCAAATTCAAGATTAGGTTTAGAGAATTATGCCAGAATTGACATGAATGTCTACGTAAATTACCGTAAATGACATAAAAAATATATTCCTAATTTGATTTTGAAGTCGATAGGTAAAAGGGCTTATAAATTAACCAAAATTCTGATTTTTAACTGTTATGTGTAATGGCTGATCACTTGACATTGGCGGAGCTATGATAAGTCACAACGCAAACCATCATAAAAAAGAAGAATAATATTAGAAGAAGAAAGTCAATCCTTCTTCTAATATTATTCTTCTTTTTCTTCTAATATTCATAGCATTTAATTTGTTAAAACATCAACAACACAAATGAACCCGATTCCTAATTCGCCATTAAACTTTCAGCTAAAAAAATCTGCCAGCAACGCTTCGGAGCGTCGTCGCAGCGGCGGCGCGTCGCTGTTGCCATGGAAACTGCGCGCCCCCTCACGCGACCGCGCCACCCCCGCGCCCCCCGCCCCGCCCCCACTCCCAGCCCCCACGCACACTGATGTAAGTAGCTCCTACTAATAGCACTCGCGCTATGTAACACCTTAACATTTATTTGGCCCTAAGTAGTTCACATCCAAGCACTTTTAAACCTTACTATTTATCTGGCTCGAAGGACCAAACTCACTGTTTCCACTAACGTTACAGGGATGTATCAGGGACGTTACGGAACTTCGACTCCGATTCCGATAAGGCGGAACTTCCGATTATTATACACCTTCGGTTCCGATTTCGGCTCCGAAACTTTTAAATCGGGGGTTTTAATCGGAGGTCGATAGCAAATAGCGATGGCGGCCTGCGTCGACCGTTACAAACTAGTTCATACCCGTCGCGTTGGGAGTCTTATATTTATAATAAGATATTTATAATTAAAATGAAAAAAGGTTGACTGAATGATGTTTTTAATTGTTCTTCAATGAAAAATATCTCTCTTGTGACCACTTCTGACACTGCCTCTGATCCCGACTCCGATAAATCAAATTTAAAAACTCCGACTCCGACTTCGGTTCCGGTAAATTTACCTCCGTTACATCCCTTTTCTATATATAGTACGCACCCAAGAACTTTTAAAGTTTTTAACCTTACCATTCATCCGGTTCGGAGGACCAAGCGTATGCCCCCGCACCAGACTAACCTAACTCTTACAAATAGTAGCCACAAAATTTTACGTGTAACCAGATGAAGTACAATACACCACGCGTAATAACTTTTTCATCCGACTCGAAGGACCAAACTCACTATAACTGAACACGTGTCTCTCCGGAGCTTAATCAATTCATCTCTTCCACTTCTTTGACCATTAATCACATGATATAGCTTTCAATGTATCCAACTGTAAATTAAAACTGAACCTTTAAATGTGAAATCTATTGCTTTTATTCATAATTGTACGTATCTATTTTAACACAAATCTGTCATTACATGTTTTATCATCCGTGAATTCCCTTGCTTATTAATCTTTTGTGGTCAGTCATAAAATTTCGTATTTCCTCAAGCGGCTTTCCCCAAATTTCAAACGCAGAAGGTGACGTCTTCGACAGCGCAGGTTTTCAAATTGAATTATAGTTTTAGTATCTTGAATCATACTAATATTATAAAGGCGAAAGTTTGTGAGTGTACATACACACTGTGTTCTTCACGTCTAAACGGCTGGAGCGATTTTAATAAAATTTGGTATGGAGTTAACTGACACCCTGGATTAACACATAGGCTAAATTTTACTGCGGGAAAACGCCGGGCGGAGCTAGTCTTAAATAAACAATAAAAAATAAGAGCTTGCAGGGTAGGGAACATTGATTATATACGCCTAGATGCCGTATTAAGAACAAGGAAGCGCCGAAAAAAATATCTACTGCATTCGTTAGATAAGCTCGTTGCTACACGAATGTGCTTGTTTGATACAAGATAGTTTCTTTCAATGTTAAAAAATTCGCAACTGTGTTCTAAGCAAACAACAAGAGAATATTCCTCAGCAAAACCTCCAACGCTTTCAGTAAGGTTCGAAAATAGAAAGCATTTTTAAATGGTAACATAGTCCTGTCCTCTTTTCACCCCCCCTGGAGAGAGAGAGAGAAAGATGGAAAGTCGAACTGCATAACAAAGAGATGAATTAAATTGAATTTTATCTTTTCAAAGCTGCAGTACAGTAGGTTCAAGCAGTAACATATGTTCTTGGTGGTAAATATTTGCCGATCTGACAATGTACACCGCGGAAAATACCGATAAACGCCACGTTGATAAATATTTGTGTGGAGGGAGGGTCTCGCGTGTGTTATATATTTATATTGTACTAGTGAATGCCCGCGACTTCGCGTCTGTTTTAGTTGAATAGATTTCTCCTACAAAATTTCACCCCTCTTTACACAGGTCATCCTGTGTAAAGAGGGGTGAAAGTTTGTTTTTTTGGACAAAACTGTCCCAGGACTAATTTAATTATACCAAATTAAATATAAAAAGCTCAGCTGTTTAAACGTGAAGAGGTAACAGAAGGACGGACACACTTTCGCATTTATAATAAACTAGCTGTGCCCCGCGGTGTTACCCGCAGTAAAACGTAGCCAATGTGTTAATCCAGGGTGTCAACTAAGTCCATACCAAATTATATTAAAATCGCTCCAACCGCTTAGACGTGTAGAAGTAACAAACATACACACTCACGCACTCACAAACTTGCGCCTTTATAATATTAGTGTGATGTATAAATATTATATATTTACTGATATAATTTTAACACGAACGATATAAATAAAGCTTATCGTACTGGGCCAACTACAGATTGATGTCAGTACTTTATTACCTAAAAAATAAATACCTGACAAATTATGTAGGACCAATATCTTGATCGTTGCATAAATAATAAAAGATATTAAAAAAAACAGTTGTAGATACGCTGTTGTTTGTATGTTGATAACCACAGTTGTCTGTAACTCGATGCGTAGGAGTTTATCTTAGGACTTAAGGTTATTTTAAAACCTATTGACAATGAAAGTATTGCTTTGACGAGCGGTTGTTAGCGCTTTTGTTTCCTGCTCCGAATGTCCTAGATTCGAATACGGGGATGCGCATTTTCACGCGTCATAATAGGTATGATGACAGGGTAAAGTAAACGAAATTCTATTTAGTCCGTCAGTTAGATGATCAAAAGATAATGATACGTATTTTTTCTTTGGGCAATCAACCAAAAAATGACAAATATAAAGCGCGTCAAAGTTTGGGAGTAGGGGTTCGTGACGTCACTTTTAAGTGAAAATTGTACCAAAACGAGATGACGTCTCGTTTTTACAAATCAATATATCTCTGCAATGTTTATATTATGTGAAAAAAGAAAAAATACGTGTCCAATACTTTTTGATAATCTACCTGATAAACGAAGAAAAAAAATAGTCATCATCCCTATTGTTTATGTACTTTAAAATATTCTTAGATTGGGACAAAGTAATTGTTGTGAGTTAATCATCAGATGCCTATTAATGTACCCACTGCTGGGGCACAGGCCTTCCCTTATGGATGGAATGAAGATATTGGGATTGGGAACTGGATGTTAGACGGGAAATGGGTAATATTTATTTGTGTTTATATCCTGAGCGCTATTTCGTCAAACACTGTTTTCCTCGACAAACCAAAGTTAATTAAAATAAATACATGTAACGTTTTGTTATTTAAAGAGTTCGCTTAGAGTCAATTAGCGGGTACATGAATGGACTTGTGTGACGCGCGACTTGTGCAACAAATAAAGTGAATCATGTTTGTTGTTCAACACACCCATATTGCACAAAACAGTTACACTTTGTCGAACCTGCTCTGAATCATTTGTTCAGACGGTAAATCGTATCAATAATAGTGATGAATTCCTGATAACTAACTCACAAATGAGGAGGTCGATGGCGCAAGTGGTTAGCGCGTTCGGCTGCGATCGTTGAGGCAACTTTCGCTGTGGTCAGTCATTGGATGGGTGTTCATAATTTACTATCTCGAGCTCCTCCGTGCTTCGGAAGGCATGTTAATTCGTTGGTCCCGGCTGCATCTGCCGTCGGTAGTACTCACCACGCGGGCCCAGTGCGGATTGGTAGGTGCTAACGACTGCAGATGCAGCCGGGACCAACGGCTTAACGTGCCTTCCGAAGCACGGAGGAGCTCGAGATATTAAGTTTTTGCTCACCCATCCAATGACCGACCACTGAACGCGGTTAACCACTTTCGCTGTCGATCTCCAATACCCTATTATTAAATAAATAAATAAATATTTCCAACACTCACACCAATTAGCCTAGCCTCAAAGCACTATACGGCTTGTGTTATGGGATACTAGGGTAACGGATAGAATACATATACTGTGCATATATAAGTAATTTATATAGAAAATACATATTAAACATCCATGACTGGAGTAAAAATGCTCGTATTCAACACACAAACATCTGCCCCCACCGGGATTTGAACCCGGGACCTCTCGAGTCGGCGACACCATGAAACCCGGCGTACAAACCACTCGGCCACGGAGGTCGTCGGTGTGTATTGTAATAACACATCGATTTTACAGGTGGTGAAATGCAGTCAATGGTCGGGTCAATGCTCTCTTTGTCGCGTGGTTTTGCCCGACGGCGCCACGTCTGTGGTTGGAGTAGAAGAGACCGTCACTGTTCGACAATTGGTGGACAGGCTGCTGCAGCGAAGGAACTTGAGCTGCGAGACCTATGATGTGACGCTGAAGGACGCAGACAAGGTGAGAATGTGGTATTTACCTATAGCAATTGTTATGTATGTAGGTAGTTATAAGCCAGCAACTGTGTCGCGTCCCTACCTATAAACAGTGCGTGTTTAACCACAGCTTGTAGGTACCCTCGGTGAGCGAACACTCCCCCGAGAAGGGCTCCGCTGGAGGAAGCAGGGGAACAAAGGCTGCGGGTCCTCAGATGCGATACTCGATTCTGAGGCCCCGTACAATGCCTGATGGCGGCCATCGCTGGGGTTTTAGTGAGTAGGCCTCCCCCTTCTGGGGAGGAGAGCCCCACATAACCACCATGTGGTATGTAATTCAATGCGTTGTAAAAACTGTAGTCTACACTTCAGCTCTACACCGAAGCGAAGCGAGGGCGGGCCGCTAGTAATTTCGTAAACCCTTGTTATTAATCGTCTTGAAAGGCTTTAAACTTGCTTGAGAACGATGACAACTAGCATGAAGCAGCATTGTGTCAATCGCCACATCATATTATACGCGAGTTTTTTACTATCATTTTGGTGTTTTGGCAATCCATTTAGGCTCGTATTACAGAATCAGAACTTAAGTGTTGATCTTTACTTGAGTACAGTTAGAAAGGGATGTCGCTATGTGCTAAATATAGCGACATCTCTTTCTATCTATGCTAATCTGTATAATACCGGCCTTCGTCTATTGGATGTATTTAGAGAATATCTTAGTATAGGCTGATGATGATGATGATGTTATTATTGCACAATCTAACGTAATTATAATTTGCTACAGACCGTTGAAACTAATAACACCGAACGGGCCGTTAGGTGCGTCCGGAAGTGCATATAATTCACATGCACCTTATACTGAAATCTATATTCTTTTCCACAGGGTGAATCGTCCAATATAGACGTTAACGCCGCGTCAACCACAATCGGGGGGAAAGAAGTTAGAGTGGAAAGGCGCGTAGTTTTACGTATCGAAGTGGGCGGCAGATGCGTCGCCGTGCGGTGCGGCAGAGCGAGGCGGCTGCGGCACGTGCTGCGGCCGCTCCTGGCGCGATACCTGCCCGCGCCGCGCCTGCTGGCCGTGGTGGAGCGGGACGCGGACTGCGTGCGGCCCTCAGCTCGCGTGCAGGTATATCACTATCAGCTGCGGCCCCTCCTGGCGCGATACCTGCCCGCGCCGCGCCTGCTGGCCGTGGTGGAGCGGGACGCGGACTGCGTGCGGCCCTCAGCTCGCGTGCAGGTATATCACTATCAGCTGCGGCCCCTCCTGGCGCGATACCTGCCCGCGCCGCGCCTGCTGGCCGTGGTGGAGCGGGACGCGGACTGCGTGCGGCCCTCAGCTCGCGTGCAGGTATATCACTATCAGCTGCGGCCCCTCCTGGCGCGATACCTGCCCGCGCCGCGCCTGCTGGCCGTGGTGGAGCGGGACGCGGACTGCGTGCGGCCCTCAGCTCGCGTGCAGGTATATCACTATCAGCTGCGGCCCCTCCTGGCGCGATACCTGCCCGCGCCGCGCCTGCTGGCCGTGGTGGAGCGGGACGCGGACTGCGTGCGGCCCTCAGCTCGCGTGCAGGTATATCACTATCAGCTGCGGCCCCTCCTGGCGCGATACCTGCCCGCGCCGCGCCTGCTGGCCGTGGTGGAGCGGGACGCGGACTGCGTGCGGCCCTCAGCTCGCGTGCAGGTATATCACTATCAGCTGCGGCCCCTCCTGGCGCGATACCTGCCCGCGCCGCGCCTGCTGGCCGTGGTGGAGCGGGACGCGGACTGCGTGCGGCCCTCAGCTCGCGTGCAGGTATATCACTATCAGCTGCGGCCCCTCCTGGCGCGATACCTGCCCGCGCCGCGCCTGCTGGCCGTGGTGGAGCGGGACGCGGACTGCGTGCGGCCCTCAGCTCGCGTGCAGGTATATCACTATCAGCTGCGGCCCCTCCTGGCGCGATACCTGCCCGCGCCGCGCCTGCTGGCCGTGGTGGAGCGGGACGCGGACTGCGTGCGGCCCTCAGCTCGCGTGCAGGTATATCACTATCAGCTGCGGCCCCTCCTGGCGCGATACCTGCCCGCGCCGCGCCTGCTGGCCGTGGTGGAGCGGGACGCGGACTGCGTGCGGCCCTCAGCTCGCGTGCAGGTATATCACTATCAGCTGCGGCCCCTCCTGGCGCGATACCTGCCCGCGCCGCGCCTGCTGGCCGTGGTGGAGCGGGACGCGGACTGCGTGCGGCCCTCAGCTCGCGTGCAGGTATATCACTATCAGCTGCGGCCCCTCCTGGCGCGATACCTGCCCGCGCCGCGCCTGCTGGCCGTGGTGGAGCGGGACGCGGACTGCGTGCGGCCCTCAGCTCGCGTGCAGGTATATCACTATCAGCTGCGGCCCCTCCTGGCGCGATACCTGCCCGCGCCGCGCCTGCTGGCCGTGGTGGAGCGGGACGCGGACTGCGTGCGGCCCTCAGCTCGCGTGCAGGTATATCACTATCAGCTGCGGCCCCTCCTGGCGCGATACCTGCCCGCGCCGCGCCTGCTGGCCGTGGTGGAGCGGGACGCGGACTGCGTGCGGCCCTCAGCTCGCGTGCAGGTATATCACTATCAGCTGCGGCCCCTCCTGGCGCGATACCTGCCCGCGCCGCGCCTGCTGGCCGTGGTGGAGCGGGACGCGGACTGCGTGCGGCCCTCAGCTCGCGTGCAGGTATATCACTATCAGCTGCGGCCCCTCCTGGCGCGATACCTGCCCGCGCCGCGCCTGCTGGCCGTGGTGGAGCGGGACGCGGACTGCGTGCGGCCCTCAGCTCGCGTGCAGGTATATCACTATCAGCTGCGGCCCCTCCTGGCGCGATACCTGCCCGCGCCGCGCCTGCTGGCCGTGGTGGAGCGGGACGCGGACTGCGTGCGGCCCTCAGCTCGCGTGCAGGTATATCACTATCAGCTGCGGCCCCTCCTGGCGCGATACCTGCCCGCGCCGCGCCTGCTGGCCGTGGTGGAGCGGGACGCGGACTGCGTGCGGCCCTCAGCTCGCGTGCAGGTATATCACTATCAGCTGCGGCCCCTCCTGGCGCGATACCTGCCCGCGCCGCGCCTGCTGGCCGTGGTGGAGCGGGACGCGGACTGCGTGCGGCCCTCAGCTCGCGTGCAGGTATATCACTATCAGCTGCGGCCCCTCCTGGCGCGATACCTGCCCGCGCCGCGCCTGCTGGCCGTGGTGGAGCGGGACGCGGACTGCGTGCGGCCCTCAGCTCGCGTGCAGGTATATCACTATCAGCTGCGGCCCCTCCTGGCGCGATACCTGCCCGCGCCGCGCCTGCTGGCCGTGGTGGAGCGGGACGCGGACTGCGTGCGGCCCTCAGCTCGCGTGCAGGTATATCACTATCAGCTGCGGCCCCTCCTGGCGCGATACCTGCCCGCGCCGCGCCTGCTGGCCGTGGTGGAGCGGGACGCGGACTGCGTGCGGCCCTCAGCTCGCGTGCAGGTATATCACTATCAGCTGCGGCCCCTCCTGGCGCGATACCTGCCCGCGCCGCGCCTGCTGGCCGTCATGGAGCGGGACGCGGACTGCGTGCGGCCCTCAGCTCGCGTGCAGGTATATCACTATCAGCTGCGGCCCCTCCTGGCGCGATACCTGCCCGCGCCGCGCCTGCTGGCCGTGGTGGAGCGGGACGCGGACTGCGTGCGGCCCTCAGCTCGCGTGCAGGTATATCACTATCAGCTGCGGCCCCTCCTGGCGCGATACCTGCCCGCGCCGCGCCTGCTGGCCGTGGTGGAGCGGGACGCGGACTGCGTGCGGCCCTCAGCTCGCGTGCAGGTATATCACTATCAGCTGCGGCCCCTCCTGGCGCGATACCTGCCCGCGCCGCGCCTGCTGGCCGTGGTGGAGCGGGACGCGGACTGCGTGCGGCCCTCAGCTCGCGTGCAGGTATATCACTATCAGCTGCGGCCCCTCCTGGCGCGATACCTGCCCGCGCCGCGCCTGCTGGCCGTGGTGGAGCGGGACGCGGACTGCGTGCGGCCCTCAGCTCGCGTGCAGGTATATCACTATCAGCTGCGGCCCCTCCTGGCGCGATACCTGCCCGCGCCGCGCCTGCTGGCCGTCATGGAGCGGGACGCGGACTGCGTGCGGCCCTCAGCTCGCGTGCAGGTATATCACTATCAGCTGCGGCCCCTCCTGGCGCGATACCTGCCCGCGCCGCGCCTGCTGGCCGTGGTGGAGCGGGACGCGGACTGCGTGCGGCCCTCAGCTCGCGTGCAGGTATATCACTATCAGCTGCGGCCCCTCCTGGCGCGATACCTGCCCGCGCCGCGCCTGCTGGCCGTGGTGGAGCGGGACGCGGACTGCGTGCGGCCCTCAGCTCGCGTGCAGGTATATCACTATCAGCTGCGGCCCCTCCTGGCGCGATACCTGCCCGCGCCGCGCCTGCTGGCCGTGGTGGAGCGGGACGCGGACTGCGTGCGGCCCTCAGCTCGCGTGCAGGTATATCACTATCAGCTGCGGCCCCTCCTGGCGCGATACCTGCCCGCGCCGCGCCTGCTGGCCGTGGTGGAGCGGGACGCGGACTGCGTGCGGCCCTCAGCTCGCGTGCAGGTATATCACTATCAGCTGCGGCCCCTCCTGGCGCGATACCTGCCCGCGCCGCGCCTGCTGGCCGTCATGGAGCGGGACGCGGACTGCGTGCGGCCCTCAGCTCGCGTGCAGGTATATCACTATCATATAAATAAACTGGCTGAGTGCCAACGATCTTCGTACCTCCATAAAAAATAGGGGTTGGTGGTAGTAGGGTGAAAATGGGTTGAATTGTATATATTTTTGTATTGTGTATCATAAAAAAATAAAAACATAAAATTTCGCCCAAAAACAATGTTTTAAGGGTGGACCACCCTTAACATTTAGAGGAATGAAAAATAGCTTTAGTCCGATTCTCAGATCTACTGAATATGCATATAAAATTTCACGAAAATCGGTCGAACCGTTTCCGAGTATGAATTACGCACACCGTGACACGAGAATTCTATATATTAGATTATACATTTCGGAAACTCACGCCGATGGAGTAGGCAAAGGGTTTTTTGCTAAATATAGTATAATAAACATACAAAAAATTAAAATGCTGAAATTATTTACGAAAAATTACAAGAATAACATTGAATTTATACTTTTTTTTCTATCCTTAAAAATTACTGAGAAAATTATGTTTGAAGTATGCATTTTTGTACGACATTATGAAGAAAAAATAGTCAAAATCAGACTAGTCTGTAAAATGTTATATGCATCGACTTGAAAACCTTAATGTTTCTTGCTAAGCTGTTTGTAGGTAGTTATTTTACACGTTAAAGAAATAATTACTATGCCGTGTATCAACGAAATCCTTTTCTCTATACTAAAGGATCCATTCTTTTCTCCATACAATTTTGTACCTTAACACAATAAAAACATTATGGTAAATATATTAATAACAATTAGAAATCAGGCGATTTTTGATACAAGCAATCACAATCGACGAAATTTTTTAAACCAATGGTATCGGTTAATTTCAAATTGTGTCTAAGGAACGTTTCGTTATACGCAGATACCCTATTTTAATTCAGATTTTCAGCAATTTATCTGAATATATTGAGATTTTGATGAGCGAGTCTTTTTAAGTATATTAAAGAGAAAATCAATCATCAAAATCTCAGACTGACTGACATAAAATTAGAATGATATATATGTAGAAGTTTACTAGAAAAAAATCCACGCGGACCAGGCAGCGGACGGGACTCGAACCCGCATCCTTCGCTATCCGGGCGAATGCACTGACCATTATGCTACCACGGCCCTATTAGCCGCGTCGAAATTTTCCTAGCCTTAAGCTGCAAGGCAGCGCCATCTCTTCGCATTGTAGGTAACCCACAATGTCAAATGAATACTTTTTCAAGTATTAAACATTTGATAATGGTCAGTGCATTCGCCCGGATAGCGAAGGATGCGGGTTCGAGTCCCGTCCGCTGCCTGGTCCGCGTGGATTTTTTTCTAGTAAACTTTTCTTTAGATTTAAACATCTAGCAGTTAAATGCTTAAAAAATAAATAAAATCATGATATATATGTGTCACAATTATTAAAATTAATAATATTAAATGTTTTGTTACCAGGATCTGGAAGGCGTCCGCCTGAAAGTGATAGAATTGCCGGACGTTAAGGAATACAATTCTAACGGTCAATTGGTCCCGTGTGTGGCCGTCGTACGAGTGTCCAGAGACAACGATACGGAATCACTGCCGGACACTAACCATAGACTACAGGATGATGCTCAGGTAATTATAACACATTATACATTACTAGCGACTGCCAGCGACTTCGTACGCGTGGAGTTAGTTAGAAATAAAGGTTCACTGCTCGTTCCCAGTAGGTGATAACGTAATAATATGTAGCCTATATGTTGACCCGACTTCTTAATAATATTCGTGCCAAATTTGAAGTAAATCCATGCAGTACTTTTTGAGTTTATATGAGACAAAAATTCTAAAAACTATATTTTTGACTTCGGTATCAATTGTAGATCACACCCTAAGTATTCTTTAAAAAAAATATTCAATGTACAGTTTTGACTTTCCTACCATTTTATTATATGTATAGATTAGTTACTTGAGAATCTTACAGGAATCTCATTTTTTTTTAAATAAAAATTCACGATATTGTAAAAGTAGAAAGCAAGCTCTTGAACACAAAACATACACACAAACATATAAACTTGCGCAGTATACGTTTTTTTATGTAAAATTGTTACTGCGCAGGCAGTTCAAAATACAAGTCGTGAGCATTTAAAAAAAACATTTAAATGTGCCCAGAAAAAGCGCACACGCGAACGACTACACCACGACGTGGCTTACGGCAGCATCTAATACATTCTGCAGTAGGCCACGGTTCCTCAAGTTGTCCGTATCTCAACAAATGCCTAATTAGAGTTTACTAGCAAACCAGTGAACCAAATGTTCACCAAAACAAAAAAAAATGTATTTAATTAATTGAGAACTTCGGAGATTTTGTGTGGTTTCGTTTGAAATTCGTGATTTCTCGAAAACCGGAAGTGCTACGTTACTCAAATCCGGTTTGTAGTCTTATCAGACTATTCTTAACTTATAACTTAAACATTCTCTTTATCTATCTCTTACGGTTTCGCCGCTGAAACAGCACCACAGACAGACGGCTGGACGGATGGACTTGTCTAATAGATAAGAGATAAATGATTCCGAACACAACTAGCATTTTCTCATTGCTGGACGTTCTAGGGCATTCAATGTATGGGGAACGAGCAATGTCCTTTATATAGAAATACGTATGAAAACATTCATGACTGGATTACAAATGCTCGTATTCGAAAAGTTACAATAGAGGTTATTCGTTTATTAATTTAGTGTTGGTCTTTCTTTTACAGAGTATCAGCGTCGCCAGTAGTTCTAGTAGAAGTCGCGACTACAGTACAACAAACGGAACCACAGACAATATTGGCCTCCCCATCATTAACGGAAGCTTGGCCATAGACAATTGTAGTCTCGGCGACAATCATTCCATTGGCAGCAGCAACAGTACCCTTGGCAACAACGACAATGGACTTGGCAGCAGCGTCAACACACTTGGCAATAGCAACAGTACCCTTGGCATCAGTAACAGTACAATTGGCATCAGTAACAGTACAATTGGCAAAAGCAACAGTACAATTGGCATCAGTAACAGTACAATTGGCAATGCCAGTACAGTACTTGGCAATAATAACAGTTGTGCGTTTGGCAACAGTATCAGTAACAGTAATGGGGGGCCCAATGGGAGAGTTCGAGCCGCTCTGAGATCTGGACCGCCTTTACATCATCACCCACCAGGTTAGTTTTTGTAACGTATAATTGGTCAGTCTTAAACTATCTATACATATAAATAAAATTGGAGTGTCCGTTTGTTATATTGAAATAACGGCTTTTTACTACGTTTATATGAATATATATACGGTACATACACCAAAATAACATTTTTTACAATTTTTGTCTATCTTTCTGTTTGTTTTGGCTAATCTCTGAAATGGCTGGACCGATTTTGACGGGACTTTTATTGGCAGGTGGCTGATGTAATAAGGAGTAACTTAGGCTACTTTTATTTTAGAAAAAAAAACACTAAAAGTTAACTCGGACGAAGTCGCGGGCAGCCGCTAGTTAATTATAAATATAATTTGTAGTGTTTTACCGAATGTGGGCCCTGCCGAATGCCGAATTCGACCAAATGTTCGGTTTAAATATATGCCGAAACACAATGAACAAAATGTTTACCAAATAACAACGAATATAAAATATTATTATAAATATTTCCAACACTCACACCTATTAGTCTAGCCCCAAAGTAAGAACTGTAGGCTTGTGTAATGGGATACTAGGGTAACAGATATAATACATATATTATAAGTATATTTATATAGAAATATATATTACACATTTATGACTAGAGTACAAATATGCTCGTATTCATCACACAAACATCTACCCCACCGGCATTCGAACCCGTGACCTTTGAGTAAATGCTACCTTGAAACCCGGTATACTACTCGCGCTAAAGGTTATTAAATAACTTGTTAGTTTTGAGGTTCTGATAAGAGTTTTCGTGTTATCTTTAGTGCTGGGGGATATTTATTTAAACTAATAATGTTTGTATGATGTGTATAAGCATTTGTAGCTAAGTGGTTGTTTATATGTATTTCAATATAAATATATTTTTATATATGTCAGTACATATATATAAAATCCTCGTGTCACAATGTTAGTTTCCATACTCCTATGAAATGGCTTGACCGATTTTTATGAAATTTTATATACATATTCCGTGGGTCTGAGAATCGGCTATTATCTATTTTTCATACCCTTAAGTGATAATGGTTGTCCACCTGAAACGTAGTGTTTTGAAACCTACAATGCGCCTTCGCGCCAAAATTCAGACTATTGGGTATTGTAACGTAGTGTTCTCATATGGGTTAGGAGGAATGTTATCCCAGGAAATTGATAGAACACTACGTTACACACCCCTAAATTCTTTTTTGGACTATATTTATTTTTTTATAATGTGTTATTAAAAAATACATACAACCCTAAATTTTCTCTTTTACCATTTGCCCCTATTTTTATGGCGGTACGAAGTTTGCTGGGTCAGCTATCACTCTACCTTACCCCAGCATCCCATAAGACAAGTCTTACAGTGCTCATTTTGATTCTAGGATAAGTTGTGTCTATGTTAGAAACATTTACTTATTTAATTATTCCCTGTCCGCAGATTTCCTCGAGAATCTCAGAGAGACTCAACGCCAGATGCTGACCACCAAGACGGAGCCCCCCGCCCCCTCGCCCTCCCCCTGCCCCGCGCCCCGCGCGCCCCCTCCCCTACCCCCAAAGCCCCCCCAGCGACCCCCCACTGTAGTCTGAACCAATGACCTCATAACACACGGGGCTCAACACTACAGACCATGATATGATGGTCGAGAAACTACATACTCTATTCCGAGAGTTCAATTAAGCGACCCTTCGAATTGGGACAAAAGTGGTCCAAAGAAGAAGGGAGCGAAATTAAGTGCGGAAGCATTATCACGATTGTAGGAAAGCAAAATGGAAATACATTTAAAGTAACATGATCAAATCAAATTGTCAATCGATTTATTGGTCAGTAGCTTTGTAAACGAAAAAATCAATAAAAAAGAAATGCCATTGAATTAAAAGCTGTTTAATAAATATTGTACACCCTGTTCATTTAACATTTATTCTAAACGTCTTTTTAGAAATCCACGTTGAGGAAAGCTGTAATCTGGGCTTTGATTATATACACCTAAGATACAGTATTAACTGCACGGAAGCGTTAAAAAAATATCTACTACTTATGGTAGATATGCTCGTCGCTACACACGTATACATATAGTACGCATAGGAAACCAGTACTACTAACTTATAGAAGTCCAAAAACTTTTATTTATATGTCTTCTATCTTGTTTTGTAGACAATGATTTTTTCTATAATATAAAAAAACATGTTAGAAATTTGCTTTTGACTGTATGGAAAATTGAATCTAATAAAGTAATTTGTAAATGTTCTTAAATATTATTGTAACATTTTTGTTGTGCTCAAATTGTTTCCCTGGCATTCTAAAATGGTTGTATCTCACAGTAGTCCTTGTGAAATGTACAAATAGACATAATATAATGCCATGTTTTAAGTCATTCCATATAGCCGAATGGTTGTACACAAATTTGATTACATGTTTGGTATTGTATAACTGTTCTGTACAAACTTAGTGTTAGTTCTTGTATATAGTCGTCACTAGAAAGTTGATGCCTTCCATAAAGTAAGACTTGAATATAAAATACTACTGGAATATATTAATAATAATTCATAGTTATTAGGTAAAATTTTACTCATCTTGTAACTCCATCAACTAAATCTTATGTTGGATCAGAAGTACTTTGTGCAGTAACATTCATTTAAGCATGGAAAGAATTTTGAAAATTGTAATTATTTAGTAATACCCCTTACTTTTACTGCAAATAAGTACAAATTACATTGACTGTATCTAGAATATTTCTTTCGTAGTCTCAAAGAAAAATCGTTTGAATGGTTTCTTATTGTTTATCATTATAAATTGTATATAATAAATGTTTGTACTTTAGCAAACAGCTTTTGGATCTAATTAAAGATAGGTTGGAAAAGTATTTTTTGTAATGAATTGAACCAGTAAATAATGTGAATAGGTTGTAAAAAATATGTGATTAACACAAGCATTACAGACTACTAACATGATGTTTAATGTTAAGCGTAGGCACTGATAGAATATAGTTATTTATTGTAAATATGAAATTAAGGGAAGTTTATGCTCTGAGAGTATCAAATATTTGAATAAAAACTTTGAATGCAATTTTTATCTTTAATTTCACAACCCTTTTTAACCAACTTCAAAAAAGGAGGAGGTTCTGTGTTTCACTGTGTATATATATATACATATACAAACACAATATATACAGGGCGTCCCACGGGTACCTCACACGGAGGGAAAGTATATTAAATATTGAAGATAGGATATTTTACCGAAAGAAGACATCATTTTATTTTTAATTATAACTAGAACTGCATTCACAGATTTTTTAAAAATCGCCTGCTACAACGGGGAGTCAAACTAGTGAAATTTCAAAAAAAAACGACATGATTTAATGCTAACCATCGAAAGAGTTATTCATAACAATTATTTTTTTGCTATGTAACATAGCATTTTAAATGTAAGAAAAGTCATAAAATTACACATTTTATAAAAAATATGTAACAAAAAGTAATAAAAAACGTAACGGTGTAAGAAAAAATAATAATTGAATGTATCAAATGTTCAAAATGTGATCCGATAT